GCCGTGGTGCAAGTAGATGGGCTGATCCATGTTACCTACATTTTGAGACCTCTTGGCATCCTTTGACAGTTCTTTTCAAATTGCCTGCAGTTAATGGCAATCTCCAGCCACAAAGTTCTTGGGAGGTCTTCCCAGGCTGCCATGCTGTTGATAAGTGACCTTCACATCAATCACCCACTAGCAGTTTTTACTTTAGTGTCCTCTTGCATGTCCTCAAGTTGCTGTAGGGTTTATATTTTAACATTCAATATTATATTCTGCCTTAATTTATTTGTAGCACTCTTACCCTCATCTCCATGCCCTTAGGAAGGCAGTTTGGGCCAGAACACAAAGTAAATGATGTAGAGAGAAGCCACAGAAGGGAAAACTGCACATTGTGGGATACACTCAACTCAGGAGAGTATGTTTGGGACCCTGGGCTCACACTTATTGGCTGAGAGAGTATGAAATGATCAGAGCATGGAAGAAATATGTGTTGAGTTTCTAGAATTCATCGCTATAGTTATTTATAAAGAAGATACTTCAGATATAATAGCATGGTATAGGTTTACAGGGAGATGTTAAAGAGTGCACCTAATGCATCGAAATAAATGAACAAAAAATTTCAGAAAGTAGCAGGTGCTATGAGGATTAAAAAGATTTAAAAATGATGACAAAATAAAGCAAATATTTGTGGAAATAATTTTGTGTGGATGTAGTGGCTTTATTGCAATTCACATTTTAATTGAGAGCACTATCTGTTCACCCATCTTTTGGTTTTCATATGGAGTGAACTCCAAGAGCTTGGGGAACAGGCCAGTGCCAGATCCCATGGTGCCAGGAGAAGAATTTAATACTGTGTTCTGGTTGCACAGAAGAATTTTAGGTGGTGGGGGGATGACATGGTCTGGTTTGTGCTTTAAAAAGTTCTCTGGCTACAGTGTGGAGATGAGATTTTCAAGGCATCAGGCTGGGAAGCAGAGAGACCAGTTAGGAGCTCATCATGGTTGTCTAGGCAACAGATACTGGGAGCTTGCACTTGGGGGGACAGGGAAATGGAGGAAAAGGACTGATTTGAAGTGGGGAGAATAGAAATTGCTGCTCGTTTGGATGTGGAGGTGAGAGAAAGAGGGGGTTTCAAGGAAAACTTGAGTTTGTAGGCCTGAGAGGCTGAGAGGTGGAGGTATCCTTTATGGAGATGAGGGTCACAGGAGAGGAACATGCGTGTGGATAGAATGGGGGACAACCATGTGTTGCTTTTGGACCGTGTTCTGTTTGAGATATGTATACCTGAGAAGAAATTGGCTACATGAACTCTCATTTGCCCTAAGGCTAATAATTTTAATTTCACATCAAAAGGGAACTACTTAGGGTTTGCTTATAACACCGTGTTTGAGGAAATAATTTCTAATTGAATCTAGGAAGTGACATTTATTTCCTTAAAATTTTTTATTTTAAAATTACAGTTGACATACAATATTATATTAGTTTTAGGTGCACAATATAAGGAGTCACATTTAAATTTGAGGGCCTTCATTGCCATTCGTTTTTTGTTATTTGGAGGAAAGCAGACACTGCAAATATGGAACCAGTCTCCAATTCCTTTTTTGGCTATTATAAGAACTCAGTAAAATACTGAAAAGCAAATCTTGAATAGGATAAGAAAGATAAGTGTTGGCAAAAGAAAACCTCAGGCCACTAGTGGACATTTATATGGAAAGTAAGAGCAGTGTGGACTTCGAGTCAAATCCTGACGTCGATGTTTAGTACACAGGTCACCTTGGGCCAGTTCCTTAATTGCTCTGGGCTTCTGTCTTCTGTTAAATGGTGAACATGATGTTACCCTTGCCCTTCTCATGAGTTCAATATGAGGATGAAATGAGGATACCAGTGTCTCAGGGACTGAGAATAGTGCATAGCAGCATCCGGAGAAGTGCTAGCTATATTATTGAATCTTCAACTTGTCCTTTCTTAAATGGACCCTTTCTGGTTTATAAAATTCTTGGTTTATTTTCTGAACGCTGGGATTACCTTGGTACCCCATTAACGCAATTACCTCAGAGTTCTTTGGAGAGACGATTTGTTTTGAAGGGATTATTTTAAAATTTGGATACACACATTTACATCTCTACAGGAAGTGACTTATTCTCCTCCTCCCTCTAACATCTTCCTTGCTTCATTTTCTTCCTTATCACCACCTGACATGCTTAGTATTTACTCTTTGTCTCTGCTTGAGATGGAAGCTTTCTGAGGATGGAGAATAATTCGTCTCTCTTGTTCAATGCTGTATCCTCAATGTCTAGAACAGAGCCTGGAATAAGGGTTCAGTGACTATCACTGAAAAAAGAAAAGAAAAGAAAAGAAAAGAAAATGACAGAAAGCAAACTAAGATTTAATTCTATTTTGGCTAATGTTAGCTATTATTATAATTCTTGGCTCTCTACCTGCTCATAGCCTTGCCCTTGAGTTAATTTGTTTATTATTTGCTCTGTGCTCACAACCATCAGTCTTTCTCTCCTGGGTCTGAAAGTCTGACTTTTCTTGTGACATGCCCACCCAGATTTAAGGCCCACTGCAACCCATCCAGTGTGGGCTTTTAGTGACCAAGTATCCAGGGCTACGTTGATCTTGATCTACATTAACCACGTGCTTTGAGAATGCAGTGTTCAAAAATGTTTATCTAGGGCTCCTTGGCCCATTTAGAAAAGTCACTGGGGGCACATATTAACTTTTAAAACCATGTTCAATTAAAATGAATACTTTTTGAGTATTCCAATACTTTTAGAGGTAATTGGTGGTACCAGGGTTGAAAATCATTGCTCTGGATTTTACATTCTAGCCTGCCTGTA